CAAATAAACTCTATTGTCAAAATAATACAACATGCCTCATAAAAAATTACCTAGTGATGTTGAACATAAAATTGGTTATGCAGAAAATGAACAACATATTGGTAAACCAAAAGTAACTGAAAATAAAGAAGTTGCTGGACCTCAAGCTGGACTAGATGGTGAAAAAGGAAGTAAAATATGTGGACAAGGTGGTCCTGAAATACTAGGAGGTAAATATATTTATTAACTAAAACTATTTTAGGAATATTTTTTTTTTCTATACAAAACCACAACAAAAAAAGGATCAGCAAGTACACGCATTCTTTGTCAGTCTGTTGATGAACAATTAAAAACATCATTGCCACCGAGTAGTGAACAATAAAATTTTTTTTGCTGATTGCTTTTCTTTTTTTTTTTTGATTTGTAAAATAAAGATTAATGATTTAAAGAATTTCAATTTTATCTTCTACTTGTTGTTCACCATTGAATTCAAAATAAATATTTTCATGTATTGATTCTTCAGGTTGTACTGATCGTTGAAGACGCTAAAAAGAAAAAAAAAAAAAAGAAAATTATTCGTAATCGAAATTATTTTATTTACTTCATCAAAATCTTTTCCAGGTGTTACTATTAATTTATAAATAGCATAACCTGGAATACATAATATTGGAACAAATACCATAAGATAAGACCATACTTGAACAATAGTTGGTAAATTTCGTAAATTAATTCGTTTTATTTGAATATTACCAACGAGTAAATTATTCATTGATATATAGAATATCATCTATTGTATATTTGAATATAAACAAAAGAATTTTTAATATTAGAAAACAAAATATTTAGTCAGTAAAATAGATAAAATAATCAGTTATTGATGAACCATATTTATTAATAAATTTCAAGATTAGTAAATAAAATTTATTAACAGTCAACCCACGAGAGAAGTCCTCCAACTGATAAATCATTTATAAGTCGAGACTATGTCTATCATATAGATTCTAATAAGCTATGAATACATTGAAAACAGTTCACAATCGTAGTTTATTGCTGCGGAGATACTACATTTTTACGTTATTTTTTTTGTTTTTTGTATTTTGACAAAACCTTGTCGTTTACATTGCTCACATACATCGACATAGCATTGACTTTAAAAAAATTATATAAAAGTGCAGTATCTTCGCAGTAATAAGCTACGATTCTGAACTATTTTCGGTGTATTCATAGCTCATTAGGATCTACATGATGCACATAGTTCAGAATTCAAAGGGATTAGTTCATTGAAGGACTTCTCTTGTTAATCAATGGGTAAATATAGAAATTGGAATGTG